GTCCTGAAGGTGCAGGTGGACAGCAGAGTCTGGTCCAGAGGAGGCATATAGAGCTTCAATCTAGATGCTATTTCTGTCATATTGAACTGAAAAATCTTCCCTGGATGGGAAGCAGCTGGAGGTAGGCACCCCTAGTGACCCCAACTGGGATTAAGTGTGTTAGAGGATGGATGGATGGATGGATGGATGGATGGATGGGAAGCAGCTGGAGGTAGGCACCCCTAGTTAGAAGATGGATGGATGGAGGGAGGGATGGGTGGAGGGATGGAAGCTAAACGTCTTCAATTTTGGAAATAAAGTCCAGTGGATAATTTTTTAACAACTATGACCTGAATGATTGTGAATCTTTACCAGCATAAATCAAATTATATATCTTTTTGTTTAAGTCTTTTAAAACCAAAATGTTTTAAATATCTGGTCAGAATTGATTTAAAATTTATTAAGTATAAAATAAATCTCAGGAATCTGTCTAATTTTTTTCCCCCTGAAACATCAGAGTTTATTCTGTTTTGTTTATCCTCATCTGCTGTTAATCTGATTTTTTCTCTATTTTGACCCAATCAGTGGCGGGTTCTGGTTCCAGGACCCGTTTCCAGAGGTTCTGACCATAAGCTGGAGTTCTGGCTGCATGAAGTCAATCTTTAACTGGTTTTCATCGGGTCACAAACGTTCAGTTAAAACCTGGAACCTGCAGAACCCGTCTGGTTCTGTACTCTGACCCGCCTGACCCTGCGCCCAGGAGGTCCGGTTGGTACCTTGGTTCAGGTAGGACAGCGTCTCCTCCTGCTGTTTGACGGCCGGTGATGTGGCCGCGCACAGTACGTACTGGAAGGGCCCCCCCTTGGCGCCGCTCTCCGCTCTCAGTCGGGCTTCTTCGTTCTTCAGGAACGGCGCCAGAGCCTCCCTGCAGAGAAGGACAGAGCAGACTGAACCTCCTCCTCCTCCAGCTCCCGGTCATCCCGCGGCCTCCAGCTGCTCCCCTTCAGATGTTAATGGTTATAGAGCTTCTAATAATAGAGCGGAGCAGATGGAGGCTGCAGCTCTTATCTAATCACAGGAACAAAGGGTCCGAAGGCTGATGTTCCAAACTCCAACATTCTTGTTGCAGAACAAACAATTCTAGTTAAAAAGTCCGGTTTCTGCAGAGTTCTGGAGGAAATCCGGGTCCGGGTCCAAGCGGAGGCCTTACCTGATGTAGCTGGAGGAGTTCTGGTGGTAGGACTCGGGCTGCGGGTGGCAGAACAGCATGTTCTCCAGATCGGTACCAGGACAACGGACCAGGCGTCAGACGCAGAGATGAGCTGGCTGGGTTCCTTCATGCTTCCGCCCGCCAGCCGCCTCTTATACCGTCCTGCTTGGGCGACCCGTGGGAGGCGGGGTCTGCCGGCACACCTCCTTCAGCGGTACCAATGCCTGCCCCCCCCGGAGAGAGGACGGGTGGGCCGCCCGGGCCCCTGCTGTTCCTACGGTAACGTGTGAGGAGACGCTGCAGCAGCAGCTGCTGCGCGCCGCAGATCTCAAAGTCTGCTCGGGTTAATGTTTATCTGGAGCCGCTCAGAATCCAGAATGACAAAGGTCCGAACGGAACGACCCGCCGCGGCTTCATTCACAACAAACAACATGCCTGCTGCAGCCAGAAGCCTGCAGAAAGCATTCCCACCCCAAAGGTCCGCATGTTCCAGAACCCTGGCGCGACCCAAACCCTGGAGCGACCCAAACCAGGCAAAGATGCCCTGAGGGATCAGCCCCTAAACGCTGCTGGTTCCTCCCTGATCACTGGTACCAGGTCCAGATCCCAGAGGAGACGGGTTGATTGGACCAAACGGGCCACTGGTTCCGTCCAGTTTCAGAGCGTTTAACCTGCTGCTGGGTGATCAGAACACCCAGCAGGGAGCTGAGCGAGCAGCTCAATAACCTCACAGAGGTTCTGCAGAACCCAGGGACCTGGTCCTGGAAGAACAGAACCCTTCAGAACCTCAGGCGGGTCCAGCGGACCCTGTGAACGGGCCCAACAGGTCATGGAAAACCTCCAGACCCGTTCTAGCTGAACTCCCGGGTCAAAGTACGCCCCTCTGATTACACCATCAGTCCCGGCACCACAGATGCTCCATGTGGAAATTTACCTGAGGAGGAACCGCGGCTGGGAGCCGGACCACAGTTCTCCGAAGTTCTGCTGCAGTGTTTGGATAAACTGGGAGTTCTGGGAAAGAAGGTCAGAACAAAGGTCCGGTTCTGAAGGAACACTGAACCAGAAATAGCGGGTTTGGGGGGGTCAGCTCATCCAGAACCTTCAATGGACCCTTAACGGGGAGTTAATTGATCTCCAAACCCAGAAGGCTTCTGAAAATTAGCTGCTGGGACCAGCTGTGGGGTCAGAGGTCAGAGGTCAGGATGCATCATCATTTTCCTTTTGTTTATCGTTCTATTCAGCTCTTTGAAGAGCTTTATACAGTGAGAATAAGTATTTGACCCCCATCATAGATGCACCTCCACTGTTAGAGACACAATATAAAAATAATCCAGAAATCACAATCTATGATTTTTTAACTCTTTATTTGCATGATTCAGCTGAAAATAAGTATTTAAACACCATTAAGCTAATTCTGCTCCTCAAAGTCCTGTTAGTCTGCCTTCCAAAGGTCCGCCTCCATTTATTCTCCTAGATTAGACGCACCTGTCTGAGGTGGTTAGACGCATAAAGACACCTGTCCCCCCCCAGACTATCAGGAAGAATCCAGCTACTAACATGACCCAGACCAAAGAGCTGTCCAAAGACACCAGAGACTAAACTGTCCTCCTCCACCAGGCTGGAAACGGCTGCAGGGAAATAACCGAACAGCCTGGTGGAAAAAGCTCCGCTGTTGGAGCTTCATTAGAAAATGGAAGAAGCTAAACATGGCTGACAATCTGCCTCAGACTGGAGGATCTCACCTGGTGGGCCTCAGTGATCCTAAGAAAGGTGAGAAATCAGCTGAAATGACCTGGAAAGAGCCTGGACCGTTTCCGTGGTTATTGTTGGTAACACACTAAGACATCACGGTTTGAAATCATGTCTGGCATGGAAGGTTCCCCGGCTTAGACCAGCACATGTCACGGCCCGACTTCAGTTTGCCATTGACCATTTGGAAACACTAAGCATGCTTGTAGCGACAGTGGAGAGGAAAAACTCCCTTTGAACAGGAAGAAACCTCCAGCCAGCTCCGAGCCAGCTCCCATGTCAGAGGATGAAGAGAGCACATCCAGTTAGTCAAGCATGGGGGTGGCAGCATCATGCTTTGGGGATGTTTTTCTGCACATGGGACACAGTGACTGCACAGGATAAGCGGTGATCATGTATTAATTCTGGGGATAAACCTCCTGCCCTCAGTTAGAGCAGTGAAGATGGATGGAGGCTGGGTCTTCCAGCATCACAATGAGCCGAAGCACACAGACAGGATAACCAAGGAGCGGCTCTGGAAGAAGCAGATCTAGGTTCTAGCATAGCCTAGCCACTCTCCAGACCTAAACCCAATAGAGAGTCTTCAGAGGGAGCGACGGTCCAGAAACCTGACTGATCTAGAGTAGATCTATGTGAAGGAGTGAGCTAAAATTCCTCCTGCAGAGCAAACCTGCTGAAAAACTACAGGAAACCTTTGACCTCTGAGATCAAAGGCACCAAATATGAACAGATTTCTAAGGTGATCAAACACTAACTTTCAGCAGAATAATCAAATAAATATTTAAAAACTCACAGATTGTGATTTGTTTTCTAAGCTGATGTCTCTCAGTGGAGACATCGTCCACCTATGGGGACAGTTTCAGACCCTCCCTGGTTTCTAGGTGGGAGAACTTTCCTCACTGTTATTATAAATAAAGTTATTTTAATGAAGCGCTTCTATCTTCTGTCATTTTCTCTGTTTATCTTCTGTCAGCGCGGCGCCTGAGGGGCGGAGCCTGAGGGGCGGAGCATGAGGGGCGGAGCATGAGGGGCGGAGCTAGAGATCCATTCACGGCGCTGATTCTGCATCCGTCCCTAAAGACAAGCTGGACTTCAGTTCTGACCCAAATGGGTTTTTTGGTTCTGAACTAAAGTCCAAACAGAATGGCAGAGCGTCCGTCTGCAGCAGGGTTTCTATCTATGCTCATATTTCTACTTCACGTTTTTGATATGAACATGTGAGCTGAGCTCCTGCTGAGCTTCCAGAACCAGAACCAGAACCAGAACCAGGTCTGAGTCTCTGTTGTTCAGAAACAGAAACTTTATTGCCACTAAATGTTGGACACAGAGACGCTTCAGTTCTAATTCTTAAAATGTAAAAGTTTGGATAGAACAGAATCTATTCTATTCTGTTCTATTCCATCTATTCGGTCATGTTCTATATATTCGGCCATATCTATTCTACTCTGTTCTATCCGATCGTGTACCATCTATTCTATTCTATTCTATTCTATTCTATCTATTCGGTGTTTCATCTATTCTGTTCTGTCCATTTGATCATATCCTATCTATTCCATTCTATATATTCGGCCATATTTATTCTATTCTGTTCTATTCTCTTCAGTCGTGTCCTATCTATTCTATTCTATTCTATTCTATTCTATTCTATTCTATTCTATTCTATTCTATTCTATTCTGTTCTGGTACCAGATGGTTAGACCCGACCGCCTTCAGAACCTTTAGGTTTCTGTCCTCTGCTTCTGGACCCGGATCCGGTCAATCAGAACCGCCTGGACCAGGGTCCATTTTAGAGGCCCAGTAGAACCGGTCAGCTAGAGACATGGCTGATCATAGAACACAATAGAATAGATAGGACTTGCTGTTCAACCTGAAACTCTGTGGAGGATTGGATGGACTCACCGTACGGCACCGGTCCACAGAACCCCAGATAACGGGCCGGTTCTGGAGGCGACCCGGTCTCTGGCGCCGGCCGGTCGGATCCGGTTTCTGTCGTTCCTGAAATGATCTCAATCATCGAAGCACCGAACAGATCAGAACCAGAACCAGAACTCTTTCCTCAGTTCGTTTATTTCCATCTGTCATCAGAACCGGTTCTGTACAGTTTATCAATCGGACCAAAGGAACCCAAACAGGATTAAATAAAACATAAATAAAATCTGGGTTCTGGTGCCGACCCGTCTGGATCACCCAGAACCTCTGCGCCGCCAGACCAGACGTCCATTCCAGTACCGATTCAAAGGTTCTAGTTCTGCTGAATCTCGACTGGCGGCCCGGTTCGAGGGCCCAGCAGAACTTGGGTTGTTCTTCAGAACCAGGGACGTGAAGAAGTGCACTTTATAGGAGGCGGGTCCAAAGGAGGCGCCGCCCACATGCAGGCCAACGTGCAAACAGTCTATGTACAGAACCAGAACCAGAACCAGAACCTGCTGCTGCCGGGGTTCTGGTTCTCCAGCCAGGGGACCGGGTCGGTTCCTGCTGTCAGAACCAGGAGCTCCGATCCAATCACAGAACCTACTGCTTGTCCAGTCGGACCCGGTACAGAGGTTCTTCCAAATTCAGAACCAGAGACCCGAGTCCAGCGGAGCGCACTCAGAACCCAGCATTCATGGTACCAGAACCAAGTGGATCCAACAAACTCCTAGATTCTGGATCAGAACCAGAACCTCAGTTTCTCCTGGTTCTGGACTTGGATGATCCACGAAGAAGTCTGATCAGAACCAGAACCGGATTGTTTTAAGCAAAATGTCATTAGAAAAGAAACGATTGATGCAGAACGGGCCAAAAGTTCTGGTTCTGCTTCTGAAACTGGGCCTCGTGGTGAACAGCATGAAGGATGGTGGAGGAGCAGTTCTGGAGGAGCGCAGCGGGTCGGTTCTGGAGGAGCGGGGCGGGTCCAGAGGAGCGGTTCTGGAGGAGCGGGGCGGGTCCAAAGGAGCAGGGCGGTTCTGGTAGAAACAGTCAGAACTTCAGAGGAAGAGGCGGCGCTGATCCGCTTCTGTCCACCTGATGGAGGATCAACAGAACCAGCAGGCAGCGTTGGACAGGGAAGGTTCTGGCCCGCCGGCTGGTTCTGGTTCCGGCCCGGCTGGTTCTGGTTGCGGCCCGGCTGGTTCTGGTTCCGGCCCGCGGGCCTTAGCTGTGGGAGGAGACGTCGGAGGAGCTGCTGCTGTTGCTGTTGGTGGTTTGGGCCCGTTTGATGTAGAGGTTCAGGAGCTTCATCTGCAAACAGAACCAGAACCAGCGTTAACTGGACCCAGACGGGCCCGGTTCTGTCAACATAAACATCAGACAGAGATTTTTACTGTAAGGAAGGAACCAGGCCAAGGCCCGGTAATCAGAACCCAGAGGTTCCAACACCTGGACCCACAGAACTGAGGACAACCAAAACCTCTGGGTCTCTCAGTTCTGGTCCGGTTCTACGGCTCGGAGTGAGACCAGAACCACTGCTGACCCACAAGAACACCGTAATGGACCCGTTATAGTTAGCAGAACCAGAACATTTAGGCGGCCTAGTCAAAGTACAGACGGTGGGTTCTGACTTGGAACCAAATGAAATGGGTTCAGCAAAGCGGGTCAGAACCTCTCAGCTGTTGGTTCCAGAACTCAGAACGGATCCTTCTAGAAATCTGGACACAATCAGAACCTTCGCTGGAGATGAGGTCCAAACAGATAGTCCTGGTACTGGAATAAAGTGGGTCCAGTTACCAACACAGACAGAACCACAGAACCCAAACGGACCCGGACCAGCCGGATGGATCTGAGCTGGACTGAACAGAACCTGGACCAGAACTTCCTCCCTGACCCGTTCCCACCTCATGGTTCCAGAGCGGTTCTGTGAGCCCGTCTGATCCGGCGTGTAGAACCGGTCCGGCTCCGGGCTTTGACTAGGCCGTTATAGCAGCTGTTCCAGATGTTCTGCCGGGTTTGGGTTTAAAGTTCTGGTGGCGACCCGGTTCGGACTGAGCCCCCCGGTTGGGACTGAGCCCCCCGGTTGGGACTGAGCCCCCCGGTTGGGACTGAGCCCCCCGGTTGGGACTGAGCCCCTCGGTTGGGACTGAGCCCCCCGGTTGGGACTGAGCCCCCCGGTTGGGACTGAGCCCCCGGGCCGGCGCTGCTCCACCGCAGGTTCTGTCTGTTGGTGGTCCTGATGTTTTGGATCAGCGCGGTTCTGGTAGGAGGACGGTTAGAACCGGACTCTGGACCTGAGAGGAGGTCCAAATATGGCGGCGTGATGTCACTCCTCAGGTTCTGTCCAGTCAGGTGGGCCTGACCCGCTCAGCTGAACTTTACATAAGTGAAGGACACGTAGAGGTTCTGCTACGGTCCGACCGGCTGGAACCGGCTTGGAGGCAACAACATGGGAAGCAGATA